GTTCTGTTATGTAGTTGTAGATTGTAGTTTACTAGATGCTTCTAACTTCAAATTTAAGGTACATTAGGTAATATGTACACAATGCCACATTTCCTTTACTCGTGTGTGCATGTAGCACTATAAGATTAGATGACATTTGTTTATGGGTCTTCCCTCCAAAAAGTGAACCAAAGAGAAGTGATAAATTTTGTCCATTTTCTTCAACAATGGCAGCAGATGCCGATATCTGAATTATTTGCACAAAATTACCTCCATTTTCTGATTTTGAACAAATATCAAGACACAATCAAAGAAAGTCATGTTTTTCTCCTCTATTCTCTCAAAGATCTATATATGGGATTCATGGTTTGCAGCCCCAGCAGCTTAAATTAAATTCACCATACTTTCAGTTTTAATTTGGACAGCAAGTGTTCTTTTGAAATCAAAAACAACACATGTTGCCAACATGTCTGAAACCTTATTGGTGCTTTAGCACAAGATGATAGTCTTTTTCGGCCATAGGGATTTTGACTGTTGGTTATCAACCAACATCAATTAAGTCGTTCTTGCGCATTTACTTTTGATGTACGGACCAGTTTATAAAGAGCATATTTGTATATGTTTTGATAGGAGTGAAAAAAGGCTTTAACATGTTTCAAGGGGATGTTCATATGGTAATTTGCTGCAGCCCAGAGCGCCACCCCCCCCCCCCCATGCACCACATCAATTGGGATTCTGACTTTTGCTAACTTGCTTATTTACATAAACAAAATTTCCTAAGAGAGAGGTTGAGCTATGCCCGAGCCCCCCCCCCCCCCCCCCATGCACCACATCAATTGGGATTCTGACTTTTGCTAACTTGCTTATTTACATAAACAAAATTTCCTAAGAGAGAGGTTGAGCTATGCCACAAGAATATTTCGTTGGAGCTTAGTAAATACTTCGTGTAATAAATGCATAAATGCCTGATCTTAGAACCCACAGTAGGGATCAAAAAGTAGTATTACTGGGAATATAATAATGCATAATTTACAAATTTCTCTCTCAGAATTCGTGTTGCTACTGGCTTAAGTAGTCCGTGTATTCAGGTCGATTACAATCTTATACTTTGAAAATCAAGTGAAAAGGAATGGGAGTAACATTTTTGGGCTTATTTGTTTTGTTTGAATGTAATTTTGTATTATTCTGATGCTTCAATCATCCTTATTCATTGTCATGAAATTTTTCCCAAAATTTTCCTCAGTTCTTTCAGCTTCTGGTGGGATAAAGGTGGACCATCCGAAGATGAGTAATGGTACTTATCTACTCCTATAACTAATAGTGTCTATATTTCTTTCTGGAATAGACACCATTCTAATTGTTTTTGATCTTTCATTGCAAGACTAAGTTTGTATCATATGCTGCAGATGTTGTTGTAGTTGTTGCTGTAGTCATATTAGTAGGTTTGTTTAGTATGCAACACTATGGTACGGATAAAGTCAGTTGGCTGTTTGCTCCAATTGTGCTGCTTTGGTTTCTCTTAATTGGAGGTATTGGAATCTTCAACATGTGCAAATATGATAGTTCTGTTCTGAAAGCCTTTTCACCTGTGTATATATTTCGATACTTCAAAAGAGGAGGAAAAGCTGGTTGGACCTCTCTCGGGGGAATCATGCTCAGTATTACAGGTTTTTATCTTTTATGCATGTCCCTTCTCTCTCTCTCTCTCTCTCTCTCTCTCTCTCTCGCCCACCCCCCATCCAATCCCCCTCCTCGACTTGTGTCTTCTGAAGAGATTCTGGTAACTCTTCAGTAATTTTTAAAAATCACCCAGAAACAAGTATTATCAGATTGTAATTACTCCTCCCTAATTGTTACAGGGACAGAAGCACTTTTTGCTGATCTTGCCCATTTTCCTCTTTCGGCTATACAGCTTGCTTTCACAGTAGTTGTGTTTCCTTGCCTTCTTTTGGCCTATTCTGGGCAAGCAGCCTACCTCATGCAAAATAAGGACCATGTCATCGACGCATTTTATCATTCTATTCCAGGTTTGCCTGAGCACCCAGTTTTTTATTACTACCAAGCCTATAAATTGCTCTATGGCGCAGTTTTGAGTTCTAATATGAATTGTTTTCAAGACTGAGGTTAATTGGGAAGTAATTTGTTTGGTTTGGGTTAGAGAATCTTTTATGCCTTTTTATGTTTGCTCGAACCTTTTTCCACTCTGGAAATAATCAAAATATGTGAAATCACTAAAACTAAATTTTTCCAGTGCTAAATCTTAATTTTACAAAGTCCTTTCTTAAATTGGAAGCATCTTTAACCATATATTGTTGACTAGCAAACACTTGTGTAGTTTGATGTCAAGACCACATTGTTGCAAATCTGATAGAAATAATCTTTTAATAATGCAGATGGCATATACTGGCCAATGTTCATTATTGCAACACTGGCTGCTATTGTGGCTAGCCAGGCCACCGTATCAGCTACTTTTTCAATAATCAAGCAGGCCCTTGCACTGGGCTGTTTTCCCAGAGTCAAAGTTGTGCATACATCTAAGAAGTTCCTTGGACAGATATATATTCCCGATATGAATTGGATCCTTATGATTCTTTGTATTGCTGTAACTGCTGGGTTCAGAAATCAAAGCCAAATTGGGAATGCTTATGGTAAGTTCTCTGTGTTAAGCCTTCAGTTCCTGATTCGCATTTTGTGTTAATGAGCTTTTTCCAATAATCCTGCTGTTTGTAATGAGAGTTTCTTGAAATTACTTACACAATTTGTCTTTATCTGCGAATTCTTTTATTTCGAAAACTGAGGTTATCTAGCTCTGTATTGTTTCGAAATCTCTTATAATATCTTGCAATAAGATTGTCCTGTATTATATCTAGCACGTTGCATAGCTAGTTGCTTTATCAGAATGCCTTCTCACATTATCTTAACTATGTTGTCTTTATTATGTCAATTTCTTGAGAACTATTATGATACCACATATCTTTGAGAAGAAACACTATTGATTTATATAACATGACGTCTCATGTGACAACAGGTACAGCAGTTGTGATAGTCATGCTCGTGACCACTCTTCTCATGACATTAATAATGCTGTTAGTTTGGCATTGTCATTGGATTATTGTCCTGATTTTCACTGGCTTCTCGCTCGCTGTGGAGTGTACATACTTCTCAGCAGTGCTTTTCAAGATCGATCAAGGTGGTTGGGTTCCTCTTGTGATTGCTGCGGCTTTTCTTGTCGTCATGTATGTCTGGCACTATGGTACAGTCAAGAGATACGAATTTGAGATGCACAGTAAGGTCTCCATGGCTTGGATTCTAGGGCTCGGTCCCAGCTTAGGGCTGGTTCGAGTGCCAGGGATAGGACTCGTGTACACTGAGCTAGCGAGTGGGGTACCGCATATTTTTTCACACTTCATCACAAACCTACCAGCTATACATTCGGTGGTAGTCTTTGTGTGCGTGAAGTACCTTCCTGTCTACACCGTTTCTGAAGAAGAGAGGTTTCTTGTGAAACGAATAGGCCCAAAGAACTTTCACATGTTCCGTTGCGTTGTAAGGTATGGTTATAAAGACCTTCACAAAAAAGACGATGAGTTTGAGAAAAAGATTTTTGAAAATCTCTTCACGTTTGTTCGGCTGGAGGCTATGATGGAAGGGTGTTCTGATTCAGATGAGTACAGCATATATGGACGGCAAACTCAGCGGTCAAGAGACTTCCTGCTGAAAGATAATGCTTACACCTCTACATCAGATATTGACCTCACGATCTCATCGGTGGACTCAATTGTGCCTGCAAAATCTCCTCTGCATGCTAACAACACAATCACATCATCAGGGCGAGAAAGCAGCCAAACGGAAGTCGATGAATTGGAGTTTTTGAGCAGCTGCAGAGATGCTGGGGTGGTGCATATACTTGGAAACACGGTAGTTAGAGCAAGCAGAGATTCTGGGATTCATAAGAAAATTGCCATTGATTATATATATGCATTTCTTAGAAAGATATGCAGGGAGAACAGTGTAATCTTTAATGTGCCACATGAAAGCCTTTTAAACGTGGGCCAGATTCTCTCTGTGTGAATTTCTTGACAAAGGATTTATAAGAATTGATTTTTTTTTTTTTTTTCTAACTAGAAGAAGTTTTAGAGCTAGCTTTCTTATAAAGCTTTTCAACAAAAAGCAGAAATCTTGATTTGGTATTTTTAAGAAGTGCATCTCAAATGCATAACTAGTTTAACATTACACGATTTTGCTGGTTGGCACGTAGTTTCTTTCTCTGTCTCCTCATTTACATTTCCAATATTCATACAGAACAAAAATGGCAATGCTTTGAACTCTAAATGCGAATGTTGATATCAAGATTTAGGTGTTAGATATCACCTCGTACTTGTCTCTATATTGGTTAATCAATTTTTTTAAAAATTTTTTTTTTTTTTTTTTTTTTTTTTTTTGGTCAAGATCTTGAAGTTTGATGTTATCTTGTAATTTTGTGGATTTAGGAACATTTGCGTGGTATGTCTTCTAGTTGAGAGAAGGAACTCGGGGCCAAGCATGTTGCCGCTGAAAGAATAATAATGTATTTTTCTAGATAATCTCTTAATTGTTCGAGAGCAACTATAAAGAGATTATTTAACAAGAAAGAATTAAGTTTTACAGACCTAAAGTCGAGCCTCTTTTGGTGCTTATGAAGAAAATAAAAGCCTCTCTTGGTGCTTATGGACAGCTTTTGCTGGTGCATTCGTTGTTAGATTGATTGTACTTGATGAAGAAAAGAAAGCATAGATGCATACAGCAGATATTAACACATTTTAATGTTGTAACCAATTTTATCAGACTACGATACAGTTTTTATATAGTGAACTAAAAATAAAAGACGTGTGACATGTTTGGTGAGAGTATTGAATAGTATCGCTCATGCTGTCTCATGTACCGCTTCGCCATTCTGCTCTTACATCCATATTATGTGGGCAAACGTATCCTATCTTTTAAATTAATAATCATTTCAATTCACCACGACCTTGAAATAAATATAGGCTTACAAGATAATTATTTTCATTTATTGCATCAAAACTTATGTCCATAATCATTTTCTTGTACACAAATCAATCACTGCATAATCATGATGAGATCTCAAATCTCTCGTGTGTCTAATACAAACAAGATACTGTACAAACTATACCAGTCTTCTCAAGAAACAAAAGCAATTTATATATAGATGCGAGTGTGTATATCACTGTCATCATCTGGATAATGGTGTCTGTGTTGCAAGACCCTGAGTTCTGGTCACGCTTGCAGCAGACATTGTACGCAAGCGTCTAGCAATTTCAGTGAAGGATGGACGGACCATTGGATCTGGAGCCCAACATTGCTCCATAAGTAATCTCCATTCAGGATCACAGAAGCTTGGCACGTGTGGCCTCAATGTGTTATTTACTATACCGCCTGCATACCCAGAAGGGAAACATTTTAGACTTCTTGTTATCAATATTCATTGCGGTTTCCATTTTTTACATTCTACCGTTGAAAAGAATAGTTTGCAGTAGATAAATTCACATTCAGAATTTTCATAAATCTCACGGGAAAACCATTATGTAATCAATCTGGTTAATAGTCTTATTTAGTCGTTCTGGTCAGTAATTTTTAGTATGTAACCTTTGTTCATAGTTTCTGAAGAATTAAATTAATGCACAAGGTAGAAGCCACTGGCTATTCCTACTTAGAAACTGGAGATCAATATGCAATTAAGAATCAGAAAGGACACGACAGAGATTTGATGAGCAAACAAACCTATGATAGCTCCATAATGCATATTGGCATAAGGTTCCTCACCAGTAAGAATTTCCCAAAGTACAATCCCAAAGGAGAAGACATCAACCTGCAAAATAAAAAAGCTGTCACCAAATACTTCAGGAGTAGATTTTCTTTTTGTCTTTATATGAAGGGCCTCAAATATTTCACAATACGGTTTCCATTTTCTCTAGGAATTTGGTTAGAGAAACACGTGTAGAAATTTGGTTAGAAAAGACAAAAAAAGAGAACTATATGGCTGGCAAGTTTTATGCTGCTAAATACGCATAAATAACAAAAAGGGCAATTCACGCACGACTTAAAATACTCAGTAAAGTAATCCAGAAAGTGGCCATCTGGCTGTTGATGAAGTGCACATATCACATAGGAATATTGTCTACTAGCATCAACCACTGAACTTCACATCCTCTTCTCTAATTCCATGTTATATATTTTTTTTTTTAAAAAAAAGAATGATAAAGTGTAAAATCTTACCTTCTCAGAAACCTTACTACTGCCACCATTTAACAACTCAGGAGCCATCCATGGAAGGGTTCCCCTAACACCACCAGTAACCATTGTATTTCTTTTGATTTTAGACAATCCAAAATCACCCACCTGAACAATGAGCAGAATAAAATGCTAAATATAGGTTGAATTCAACACTAACCATGACCTTTTTTCCACTTCCCTCGTCTTAATTTTATATCTAGGTATTATTAAATCCTTTCTCCCGCAGGAAGGTAAAGCATTATGGATCTGTGCAATATATGCACCATTAATACATTACGCTAGTCGAAATATTTATTAGATCGCACTTTTTGATGTCCCCCTTGATTATAAAGGAAGGGCTTATACTCTTAGTCACCTTGCATATGGGTCGGGAAGGATCCTTCAAGTTGACAAGCAAGTTGTCACATTTCAAATCAAAGTGCACAATATTCCTTGAATGCAGATATTCCATTCCAAAAGCCGCATCCATTGCGATTATGAGCCGCTTGCGACGATCCAGATGCCTGAATACAAGCGAAAATGGGAAATACAGAAAAGGAAGCACTTGTATAGTGTCACAAGTTAGTAAACTATCAGATTTAAAAGATATATCTCTTAACATTATAGTACCTGTCCTTGGAAATTAAAACATGCCTAAGGGAACCATTCACCATATATTCTGTTACAGTTGCAAGTGTTCCTCCAGGGCCATCTTGCACTACACCATAAAATGCTAATATGTTGGGATGGTGAAGCTTTGAAAGAATTTCAGCTTCACGCCAAAAGTCCACAGCCTACAGAAAATTAATACAGGTTGACTATCACGAATTGAGAGAGAGAGAGAGAGAGAGAATATTTAATATATACTACAAATAAACTGACCAGTCTCTCCTGCTCTGATGAGCGACCCGTGAAAAAGCTCTTCTTTATTCTCTTGATAGCAACATCTGAACCCCTCCACTTCCCACGATAAACAGTCCCGTAGGTTCCAGAACCTAATTCCCTCAACTCTTCTAGATCCTTATTCTTTATAATCTGTAATGGTAAAAACCGATTCACAGTAAACGGGTAAATGGTCCAACATAATCTTATAATATTTTCATCAATTTCAAGCAGACTTGTATTTAATGATTTTTTATTTTGATGATAAGGTCATCAGTGCATATAGGGAAACAGGGGGTAGATAAAACAAATCTTCCAGACCCTATCACATGAAAAACATGCGAATAAGAAAAAGTGACTGATGCACAAAAGCAAGAGCTCTACCCTGCGAAGGTTTACGAATTCTTTGCACCGTGCAAGAGCAGACTTCAGGAACAGCACTTACGGATCACCCACTGAAGCACCACAATTATTTCATACTGCTAAAACTTGAAGTTTAAAACTAAAGAATGAATTAAACAAGATAGCTGTCAACTTTTGGAGGGAAAAGGAAATAGATTTCTCTTTTCATTATGAAAAATAAACCATTTTCCTTCTTTATTCTTTTTCGGTTTTCCCTCAGTCTGATAAAAACACCAATTTCAACAAGGAGAACCAGAAATAATCTTCCACCATGAGAAAACCACCCTCTTCTTTTTGAAGAGAACAATTACTAGTCAAAGTGTCAAAATGGTATATTTACATAACAAAGGGTACAAAATCAATCTGAATCGCTTTTCATCAAATGTACAATGTTACTCAACAACCAATTATTCTGTAGATTGTCTAAGTATCTAATCTTTCAACCAACTAATAATATAAAACTACGTGCACATAAAAATGTCTACAGCATCTAGGAAGTCTCCATTAGAGTTGAAGGAATGAGGAGAACTACCATGGACACCGGAAGTCAAAATCACCTTTTCTCAAATTGTGCCTAACTAGAGAAGTTCTGTTAATCATCCAGATAAAGAAAAGGGGCATACGATGAACTATCTAGCAGCATTTCATTGGTAGGTTTGTGGCAGTGAAATAGATAATACAATAAAAGTGATAGGTGGCACAGAATAATATGCAAGAACAATGATCAGGGGTATTTTATATGAATCAAGGTAGACAATAACATTCATATGCATGAAACTACAAGGGTGCATTAAGGTGAGGCGAACATCAAATTATTTGTGCCAGAGCACATTTTAAAGTTGTCTCTTTTGGTGGTTTGATGTTCTTAAAGAGATTTTTATCTTCTTGCGATGGGAGGCGAGTTTAATTACTATGATGGCTAGTGGATTTCCATCATTATGGCAATTGTAATGACTATTCGGAGTGAGAAAAAGTTGAGCCCCAACTACATAACTCAAAAACTTTTCTGCTCTTAGCTAGTAAAGTTTTTCAGGAAGGAAACATTATGTCTTTATTGTATACAATAGAGAAGACCTTTTCTCTACAGAGATATACTTTTTCTCATCATTTCGGATCTTTCTTAATAACCCTTGCTAAGTTATATGGGCATTTTTTAAGGTAAGCAATACATAAATGCCCATCTTTGATTTACATGTGTGGAAAATATTAATTTATTTTTCCTGATTAGGCGGCTTCATACCTGCAGCATATGGAGATCAAAATCTACTAGAGAGAGGTCAACAAGAGGAGCTCTGGTATTCTGTGCTTCTTTCTTCTCATCCTTAAAATCGATAAAAAAAAGATTCAGCAAATACAGATAAAACGAAGCACATTCCTCAAGTTTGCATAAGGTAAAAATACCTGATATTCAGATTCCGGTGTCCTCGAGTCCATTTGACCATCAAATTGCAGACTTGGAACGCAAGAGGTCTGGGAAGGATCATAACCAGAAGGCAATTTCATGGTCTCTGTTCTGATGGTGATAGCTGGTTGCTGCTGAGTATCATCCCCAGAATTACTACGGGAATCAATGTGATCCATTGCACCTCCAGTAGCTCTAGGAAGTGGATAACTATTTTCAATGGAATCTGCTTCTCCAGTATTGGCACGAGTATATGACAAACTAAGATGATCCTGATCCATGAGGGACATGTCGTTTCTTACAAAATCATCTTTTGCTAAATTCTGAAATAAAGAACATTGCTTAGGTTCATGTTCCATATTTAAGCTCAAAACAGTTCCATCTCTCTGCAGTGGAGCAAAACCAGTGGAGCTATCTACCACTCTAGCCTCAGAAAATATATCAGGCAAGAAATCTCGAGGAAAACGATCATTAATATCAATAAGGATGTCCCCCTGTTCTGAAGTGCCAACACCAACAGAGGGTTTACTTTGGGAAGAGGTTACAGCTGAATTTTCTACAGCCAGAGGCTGTATTTGCTCCTCAGAGGTTTTTCCTCTTATCTTTCCCCAGTGAAGCTTCATAAGGTTAGAAGCAGATTCATCTTGGGGATATTCAGAACTTCGGCTAGTCATAGGGAAATTGGACACAGAAGAATCCCTATCAGGAAGTACCACAGCATTTAAGTCAGTCTTGTGAAGATTTGACTCGAGATTGTCCTCATGGACACTTGAATTCTTTGCACCAATGTGATCAGTAACTGCAATTGAATTCTGAAATTCACTCGATTTCTCTTCAATAGCAGCTGGCTTTGTAGGCACAGATTTTACAGAAGCAAGAAATTCTTCTGCCTGAGATGCCACATTCCAATCATTCAACTTGTCAATTGATTCTGTCATCTGTTGTGAAACATCTGATTGGGCAGGAGTCATTAGAAACTGGGAACCAGAACGATCATCAGACTTGGACAAACGATTAAGCCCTGCCTGTTCTCTGGGAATTCTTTCTGAATGAAAAAGGCTCTGAGGAAGCACCGCTGCTTCACAGTTCAAATCATTTGCATATGCCTCAGACTCACCGTGGACAGGCATAAATGCTTTACCATATGTATAAAATTGGTCATCCATATCAATCTTTTGCATATTTGCTTCCTTGACATTATCCAGAGGAACTGGACTCCTTGCAGAATCCTGAATCATCTCACTACCTGTTGTTTGAACAAGAGTGCTTGCGTCTGCTGCAGCACTAATTCTGGATGCATCCTCTTTTGTTATATCATTTAAAGATGAACTGTCATGTGGATGAGAAGAGAAAATCTTCTCATTTTTCACTGACGGCATCTTATTAGACTCACTGATTTTCTGGACTGAGTTCTCTTCTGTCATCTTTGCATCCTTCAGAAGCAAACCCTTTTCGAGAGATTGGTCCTTAAAAAACTCCACCTTCTTTGGGATAATAGTTTCATTTTTAACCTTCGTTTTCAATGTTGACACTTTTGGAACCTTTGCTTTCAAGCTATCATCTGAAGTCATGTGCCCGTAAATAGAATGTGGAATCAAGTTTTCAGCAACTGGCACATGATTTGATGGATGAGAACCATAATTGTATTGCACTGGAACAGATGATGGGACATTATTTTTGAAATCCACATCTGGGAAGCTGTCTTTCCGGTGGAAAGTGTGCAATTGATGCAATTCAGGCTGCCCATGATTCATTGTTTGCACCTGATAATCACGTGGATTGTACTCAAAAGCAGGTGATGAAGTTGGTAGCATCATCTGAGAAGATTTATTTAAAGGGGGAATAACAACTTCTGGATGCGCAGAGCCAGCCACCGCTAAGCCAACTGCAATGTGACCAGTCTCCTGCTCAACACTTAAACTCAGCAACTCCTCCAAATTGTTTCCTGAAGTGTTCTCCATAGCAATGGAATTTCTTCTGGATCCAAAGTCCATGCCATTTATGGCAACAACATATTGAAGCTCGGATTCACTTTCTGCATTCTCGAGACCAAGCTGAGAATCATTTAAGTCATCATTTGAAATAAGAAATATCCTGAGTTTCTGAGCTCCACCATCTTCAAATACATTACATTCCTCCATCATATTCTGCAGGTCCTCATCACCAGAGACTGACACCAATGCACCAAGATCCTCGTCGGGAAGCTGATATTTGATAGTATGAGGTTGATTATATATTATCCATGTTTTCTGTACAAGCTCCTCCCAAGAAATATCTTTGCTTATCCGGACAATACGTGTATCACCTCCAACATACCGAAGCTTTCCATCTTTTGGACGAGGCAAAATTTTACCACCAAAACTGCAGAGTAACTTCAGCGTTGTTGATGAGCTACCAGAAGCCTTTGAAGAAGTACGACTATGAAATCTTTGACTACTCTTAGATTCTGATGAGGTTTGATTTACAGAGTGAAATGGCTGACCATAAACTTTTTCTTCATTTAGAGTAGAGGCATTGCTCTCGGGATCTCTCCTCTTTTCTGCAGTGGGGATAGTCGAAGTATCAAGCCCACTGTCAGAACCTGTATGAAATTTTCCAAGCGTGCCCTTTACATCCATATACACAGTTGCACTATTAGACTCATTAGAGGAATTTGGAAGAATATGCTGCCTTGGATTCACCCTTTCCCACATAAATTCAAGAGCAAACTCCTCACCAGTCTGAATAGAATAGTTGAGAACAGGTCTAGGCCCAACTGGTAAATTGGGATCAGGTCTAGCTCCAACTGGTAAATTGAGTTCGGGTGGTCTAATATTAGTGTTAATTGAATTGCAAGGATCCTGAAAAGTCCACTGATTCACAGAACCAAGCCCCTGATTTCTAGTCTCTGCAGAACTATAACAACCTTGTTCAAAGTTCCCCAATTTTGCTTTTTCCATATTTTTTTCCATATACTAATATTCAAGCTAATGGGATAAGCACCTAGGAAAATAAATGAAATGAGAAAGCTATTGACTTTCCAGACAGCAACCAGAAAACAGTTAGTTCTCAATCAGGCTCCAAAATAAGAAATAAGCTTTTACTCATTTCTTAATTTATAAAACTTGACCAAAGAACTCCCTCAGCTAGAATAATCAGCAATACAGCAGATAACTATCTTTCCACAGAGTAGAGCGAGCAAGCACTGTATACAGCCAGTGATCAGAACACCTTGCGCTACAAAATCAAATTTATGAAAAGCTTTAGGCTATGAGAAGGGAAGGAAAAGAGGATAGGACAAAATGAAACTTAGAGACATAACTTTGCTCATCATATGCCTTAATCTCCTCCAATAATATTGAAATTCAAACTTAAAATTCGACAAACATAAGATGAAGTACAAGTATTTTTGAAACTCCTCCTTTGTTTTCAATTTCGACTCTCTTCCTCTTACAGATAAAGCTCTAATATAGTACCATTGTCCTTTTCATTTCTTTGCATTCTCTTCTTTTCTTCTCATTCCCGACTTCCAAATAGATTTTTATGGTAAACCAGCATTCCCAGAAAGGTAATAATATTCCAGAGGCCAATATATTGATTAGGAAGTGACTCTATATTAGCTGTCCTTGGAGGGTTAGTCGAATGAGATAGAACAGGAAGTTAATGCGTTCGCATTTTACAGAAAATAAAATAAAGTCTAAGGCCTAAAAACTTCATTAGTAGTTTAAAATTTTGAAAAATGGAAGGCGACTACACTTAATGTCGTACACCGACTTTGTCTTATAGACCTCCATTTCCCTCTCATTTGATTAAAAACCACAAAAAAAAATAAATAAATAAATAAATTAAACTTCCCTCACATTCTTTTTCCCCTTCAACGCTCCTTTCTGGATCCCAGAAAATTAGTTATGGACTGTAGCCACCCACCCCTGTGGCTAAATATTGTGGATTTTGTCCTTTATCGAATCAAATTATTAATATTATCAGGTTACAAAGAAATGATCAATTTTTCATAATTCTTTCTTCTTGCAGGAGTACCTCTTTTGAGAAAGCAAACAAAATGACATCCTGATTTGATTTGATTCAATTTGTTAGATTACCAGTAGCAATATTGGAGAAACATACTTAGAGGAAACACATCTGGGAGTACACAAAATGTACGGGACGATCATCTGGAGTAATTATTAAAGAAGACAGGATGGGGTGGAAAACTAAACTTTGAAGGCAAGATATGCTTTCGCAGAATATAGAAATATCATAGCTAGAGATATGGGCAAGTTCAAATTCTTAATAAAAGGATGAACAGATATCGGGGGAATGGAAGCAAATCATCCCACTATCCTCTAGATACCCATCATTCACTTTTTACAAAAACACACGACAGCGGCCTGGCATTTCTGTTAGGACCTGCTATGAAAGTGGGTGTCAGACCACCACCATATTCAAACTCTTCTTTGATGAGGATGTAGTGCTAATCTAGCTTACAGAATGCAATCAAAAGTTTAGCAAGAATTTAAACATTAATCTAAGTTAAGGATTCCAAAAAAAATCACATTTTACAAAATCACTTCTCAAAGAACCAAAATCAAACAAGAGCTACTAATTTAGTGACATCTATTGCTTCGTGCGAAAACGAAAAGATTCCTACCTCCAACAGCAGTTCAGTACATATCTGGTTAACACTTGTTTGTAAATTGTAAACATTCATTAATAATTAACACATAAATTCCTAAAAAGATTAAGCGCACAATTTTGTAAACTATTATCATCATCGTGGGCGCTTGGAAATTAATTGAATATTGTTTAAAAAGAAAGAGTACAGAGCATGTTCGGAAGATCAAAATCAAACTACCACACAAGTACGCATCAAATTGTGAATCAATATTAAGCGAGAAAATAGATCATAATTGTAGAATTCAGATACAACCCATCTACTAGAAATCATACTGTAAAGAGATCTACGTAGAACAATCAGAAATTCAGATAAAGAGTAGACTAAACACTCGATTGTAATTGAGCTAAATAATTCACCTTTTCAAGACGATGAACTGATTAACTTTCAGTTAACCGTAAAGACAAATCTCTCTCCTGCTGTCTTTGGTTCGTTATATGTAACCCGTCAATTTTGATATAGACACTCCAGTTTTTAGTTTTTTACTTGCTTAGCCTTTAGGGAGTCGAACAGTAGATTGAAGATGACGGCACTAACAAGGATACAATTGTCATTCACTCAAGGTGTGAAATTATCAGTTCTCGAGTCCTTTCTCCACACCTCAAAAATTATTACTGTTAAAGACTTCAAGATGATTTCGACTATGGCAATTACTATTTTATTGCAATTGTTTCCTTTTTTTAATACTTTTCATTAATTAATCTCCGAATGACATTGCAGCATCACGTCCTTAGCGAGAGTAAAATAATAAATTATACGAATAGTGACATAGAGATTATTTTTGTAACATTTTTTTTTTTGGGGTCAATTTTTAAAGTCTTCGTTGATACTCAAATGAACACAAATGATATATGTCATTTTATGTAATTTAATTATTTTTACATATTTTAAAAACCAAATTTTAAACATGTGATGTGCCCTTTAATATTACTAATGTGAAATACGTGCATTGCATGTGATCGTAAACGTCGCCACATAGTTTTTAATTTAAAAAAGTCTTTTGAAAAAATAAAATGAAAAGTTGTCTAAATTTTTTATATACACTATTTATCTAAAAGAGGCACAAAATTCTCGAGTAAGCCAATTTTTTGTAATTAAAGTTTATCGAATTTAATTTGTAAATAAAAAGTTGGGCGTATGAAAATTTTAGCAAAATTGTTGAACTCAAAGGATTTACTTATTTAGATACTATGATCATATCATCAGAAAACTTAAATTGTTAAAGAATGGAGTTACTTATTTATTATATATCAAAAGAATAAATAATGGAGTGTGCTTCTTAATTTATAAATTAAAAGATCTCCTTATTACGATTGCAATGAATAATACAATTCATGTAAATTTATCTAAGGTTGTTTTGATCGTAATTATGGGTCTATTAAAATATATAATTAAAAATAAGTTGGCGGAGCTAAGGTATGCTATTTGGCAAGATACAGTGAAATTAGATCTCCAATGTCATAATGCCCTTGTTTGAGCCCCATTTTACAAGAGAAAATGAATTTTTAAATAGTGTATTGATGGGAAATGTGTGGTTAAAAATTAAGAAAAAAATTTTGATTTGCGTATAATATTATTTTATTGAAGAATGTGTGATTAAAATTGTGTCAAATCACTGTTGAAAAATGTATTTTGACGAAAAAATGTGGCTCAAACAAGGGCAATATGACGGAACTTTTGTTTCTTAACTCAAAAGGAGATAGCAAAAGAAAATAGTCGTGTTCTCAATTCCTCAAATGTGATGTGCCGATGAAAAGTTTATGATTATCATCTTGTGCAAATGTATATACACACATATGAATTTATAAGCATCTATAATTAGTGATTTCTGAAAACGTGTGATTAAAAAATTGTAAAAGTTATTAATATTAAAGAATGTGCGAATGAATTGCAATCATTAACTGTCAAGCTTGAATGTACAATGAGAGTGTAAGTGTTATGCCCTAGGTCTAATCAACCTTAGATATAAATACTTTCAATATATAATTAATGCAATTTAATGGCAGACCTATTATTTAATTAATAGACAATTAAATTAAATAATAGAGTCCGTAGATTCAAATTTTCGTAATTTGTTAATCACAAGGAGTTGTGATTGTGAGATACAATTACATATGATTGAATCTTAAATCGTCCGTGGTCGTAAGTAATAACGAAATACGAATATCGTTATTACGGATAGACCATCATGTGTGGCATTTCTTACTTGTGAAGTAAGCAACTGATCTCACAAGCTAAAGTGTGGTAACACTTAAATGAACACATGGATGTTTTGTTATAGAACAAAACATTGGAGACCCGTCGAGAGATTTCACATGGATAACTATCTAAGTGTCAGTGGTTAATCTCTAACGTTCGGTAGTGGAATTGGTCCTTTGACTTGAGGTCGTCATGATACCTTATATGAGGACAGTCATACTTTGGCGGTGTTGGATGTTGCTCTACCAAGGGCCGCTAATACGGCATCGTTCGGGCATGTCAAGAATCATATGAAAGTTGTGAATGATCAATAGATGATTCGTCACTTTTAAATAGTAAGAGATTATGATCTGCGTTTCATTCAATTAAGTCGATAACGAAATTTTTGGCAAGGTGTACTCATAAGTCGAAAAAGAGTTTTCGACTTATATTGACTTAATAGTGGAGTGAAAGATATTATCGATGATCGAGATTGACATGCTTCCATATCTCGTAATATGATCGGATCATATTAACGAAGGGATTATACTTTCACGGTAAACGAACGAGTTTGGTTTTCTCATATCGCGTGACATTTCCCGTCACATGTATTGCCCCGACACATTGTTAGATGTCAATTTGGGACGACGAGTGTGAATTGGTGATAAATTAAAAGGGTGTTTTAATTTATCGATTTTGATTAGATCAAAATAATATTTCATATCATTAGACATCGTGATCGAGAACCTGATGCAATTTAATTTAAGGGGCCTGCCTGCAATTTGCTTTAAGGGGTCAAGTTTACAATTATTTTAATGGAGGGTCTGCTTGTAATTTTCGAAATTGGGAGGTCCTCATTATAAATTTAAATTTGGGTCAAGATGCAATTTTCAAAAGATGTTTGAATTTGGATTTTAAAAGGATTTTAAAATTGTATTATAAATGGGTTTGATCTATAATTTTAATTTTGACCCAAATTAAAATCTTATTTAAAATTTAAATTTGGGTCAAGATGCAATTTTCAAAAGATTTTTGAATTTGGATTTTAAAAGGATTTTAAAATTGTATTATAAATGGGTTTGACCTATAATTTTAATTTTGACCCAAATTAAAATCTTATTTAAAATTGACGAGTTTTTATATTTTCGTTAAAATATGATTTTAACTTAAAAATATTAAATTTAACCCCAAATAGAATTTTATTTTATTTAGGAGTGTCATTCTATATTAAAATATTAATTCTATTAAAATTAGAGTTTGACTCTAATTTAATACTTAATTAAAATTTGATTTTAATTAATTATTCACCCAATTATGTTATTGAAGTTAGAATTGGATTTTAATTTGACATTTAATTAAAATTTGATTTTAATTAAATTGTCTTACCCTAAATTTCTTCATGGAATTAGAGTATGACTCTAATTTGCTAAATCAATTCACCCTAAAATTTGTTCCAATCGGAGTTGGACTCTAATTTGGTATTTAATTAAAATTTTGATTTTAATTAAATTAATTCGCCCTAAATATTGGAACTAGAGTTAGACTCTAATTTTGATATTTAATTGAAATTTGATTTTAATTAAATTCAACCGTCTTAAATTTTGAAATTAGAGTTTGACTCTAATTTGATATTTAATTAAAATTTGATTTTAATTAAATTATCCCGCCCCATAATTGTTGAATTAGAGTTGGACTCTAATTCGGTATTTAATTAAAATTTGATTTTAATTAAATATACCCGCTAATTAATGAATTGATTAATATGATTAATTAATTATTCAATTGTTCCGATCCATTTGTCTAAAAGAATTTAGACGACTTTAATTGCTAGAAACTTGAAACGTGTTTGGATATAATATTAGATATTATATAGGCATACATTTATGTTATGAATGTATTACTAGAGGATGATTATGGATTCGACCATGTGGATGTGTTAATGGTTAATTTTATTCTTGTCATGTTTTGGGCCGACGAGCTCGTTACTATTGTTATTATTGCGTGCCTACGAGTTCTTAATTATTTTGGACCTGCGAGTCCATTATTATTATTATTACTATGGGCCTGCGAGTCTAATCTCATTTAGGCCTGCGTGCTAAATAATATAGGATACATGTTGCAGTTGGGCTAATTGAAGAAACAAGAAGAGGAAGAGACCATGGAGATGATGCATTGATACTGTTCAATGTTATACACCCTAGGAATTAACCAACTAGTTTTCCTTATGGCTCGAGAAGACTAGATAGTAAAAGTCCATAATCGTCCACACTATTATATTATGTTATATATATTTATTTGCATGGTAGATGTATAATAAAATATATATTATTGTTATGATGAGACCTTTGAATGCAAAATCCATCCATAAAATATTAAGTCACATTTATAATTGCCTTCCATTATTATAGTGAAAAATCAGAGTCCCAAATCGTCTTAACTTGTTGAGTACACTCAAAGCTGGTCTATTAGAGATATGTTTGACACTATGAAATATTTGATATTTCTGAATGACGGGTTCGACTTAACTAAAATTTATCTTTTGTTGAGTACACTCAAGGAGATGAATTTTAAAGGCATGTTAAGCTAACATATAAGATGTGTGAAAACAAAGAGTTGTCAACTTAATGATCTGGGTGTTGTATGGAGATACAATTGATAATAGTATCTACCCAAATGTTATATTAAGGCTTGTTAAGTACACTCAATGTCTTAATATAATAGATGGGATCCTAGCCAACTGAGAGTCAAGTATGGACTCTATAAATTTATGTGAAAGGGTCATAAATTTTAGTTAAACAGTGAGGTCATAATTAATTTAATAAAAGTCCATATTAAATTAATTGATGCATTTTATATATTATTCATTTTCTTTTCGTCATTTACATTGAATTTTAAGTAACCATATGTTTTGAATGGCATAATAGATGCCAACAATTAAACCAGATTTTCTTAATTGACACTACAATTTGAGAATTGTTCTCATGCATAAGAAAATTGGTCACGTCCTTGAGTAGCCCTTTCCAGAGACACCTGCTGATGACTTGATTAAAGAAGATGTGGCTACTGCAATAAACACTGTGATGACGATAGTACTGCAACATGTGTGATGTTTGTATTACGTCACCTGAATTACAAAAGCAACTTAAGAATATAGATGTTGACGCATGATTTTTCATTTCAAAGAGTTGTATGATAATAATCATGTGTGGAAGGATGCGAGACTTCCAAGCAACTATACCGATGCAAAATGACAGAGCGATCTTCAGTCAGTGCTAAGGTACTGAAGGTGATTGATGTTGAGA